AGGTCTCGAAAAGGAACTAGGCATCATCAAAAATGACCTTCAACGAAATGGTTACTCCAGAGTAATGGTAGGGACAGGCTTTAGCTAGGAGACCGCAAGAGCTCGACAAGGAAGAGAAGCCGCCACAACCAGTACTTGTACTTCCCTACATCAGAGGATTATCGTAAAGGATAAGAATAAGAATGATTGGTGAATTTCACTTCAAACAAAGAATGATTGGGTTCAAGTATAACATTAGGACCTGTTCCAGATCTGGGAACACTATCCGTAGCAGTCTCACGAAAACCAGGCCACCAAACGCGAACTGCGATTCCAAGAATAGCATTCACCGGATACACTGCGAGTGCGGAGAATCATACATCGGTGAAACTAAGAGGCCATTGAAAGTTCGCATTGTTGAGCACAAGAAACACACACAGCGAGAAGAAACCAGCAAATCTGGAATAGTAGAACATGTTTGGACTCATCAACATAACATCAAGTGGGCTCAAGCTGAAATCACTCATAAGGAGGAACACTGGTTTAGGAGGAAATTCCGCGTATATGTTGTCTAACAACACATTTAACATATGAAAACCTCTAATCAAGCGGAAAATGATCAACTCTTGCCAAACGGTCATCTCCCGCTAAAACCAATGAAGGGGAGAGAGGGAAGAGGGGATAGGTGAAAGCACTCGAATGACCTACAAATAGTCAGATCTCGGAGGAATAAGTCCAGTTATCACCCGAAGACGATTGTGGATACTAACAATCGAAACGTCGTGACGTAACTTGGTTTGGAATCTATTAATTTTTAATTTTCATTTCTTGTTGATAATATTTTTTGATTTTTTAATTTTCAGCTCGTTTTAATATTCAATTTTTTAATTTTTTTTTGGTTGTTGCTCGTATGTTATTTCTTTGTAATTTCAGTTTTTGTTCAATAAAATTGTTACTTTTCGGTTAATCTTTTCAATTGTTCACAGATTTTTTCAGGGATTTCAAATCAATTTTTATTAAATTAGACAATGGAAGTCCGAACTGATTGAATATTATTATTATTATTATTCATATGATTTCATTAGGAAAATATGTATCTAAAATTAAATTGAACAATGGTTTCTTTTGTTTTCGAACTCCGTACAATAATTAAAAAAATCATCGATATATTCTTCTTGAGTGAAGAATTATTAAACAATTTCAACGCGACCCTCTTCATTCGTTGCTGTAACACTGAAATTCTTGAACTTCATTTCCCAAAGTTTTTTTGCAACTATGCCAGTACTATACAAGGAAGCTAAAATTCCTATTGTTGTCCCAGCTAAGACGTCCCACCAGTGATGTCTTCTATCGGTTATTCTTGTCAAAGAGCAAATAAGCGACCATGTCAGGCAAACCGATATCAGAAATGGTTTCATTAAAGAACCAGCGTTGGTAGTTGGCAGTCTGGCGTGAACAACATACTGAAAATGGAATTGAAATTTGTATATTTTTTGTCGAATAAAATACCTGTGACATGTATTATATTTTTGAAGTAATAACCACATGGTTATTGGAGTATTTCGTAGGCGAATATTTGAGGTATGTTAATACCAGTATTTCTAATAAGTGGAGACCTTTCCTTGCATGAAAGAACTCTGTTTGGAAAATTATTCTGCTCGATCAGTGAACAGCTTTCCCTGAAAAATACTCTTGAATTCAGCAGATATTTGTTGAACCCAAAAATCTTGAATTGAGCGTTGCAGGAAAAGCTCAAGAATCCTGTCAGGATGGACAATTCAAGAATTATAGATTGCTCTGTTATAGTAGATCTTTATTAGAAATTTTATTCTCTTATATCAAAGGACTATTCAACTCAGATCATTTCAGTATTCAGATTCTTCTACTTGAGAAGATAATTCGGAAAGGGACAAAAAGAATGTAGGATTTTATTTTCAATTTATACATTTCCGAATATTTCTGTCAGACTTTCGAAACTTTGAAACGATTTTCGTTAACTCCCACATCATAATGTTTGAATATATGAAAATATGCGATCCATAACTCAGCCTTGTGTTAATACAACCCATACGCTGTGTCCAACTATAGCGGTTATACAGTATTCTAAGGTTATCATAGTATAATCATTTTTGGGAGTAATCAAGATGACTCGAGAGGAGCTATACCAATTAGACGTAATGACCTGTAGTTTGCATCCTGCATCAGCTGTTCCACAGTTATTCATTCCCCGACAACTGGGTTGCCGTAGACTTTTGAGTTTCAAGTGCCTCCATAACAAAATGGTTTCAGCTGGAGCCAGAAAATTTATCAGGAGTTCGAATTCTCTCCTCTGGATAGTCCGTGACGGAGGAAAAAGCAGGGTACAGAGTATTGACACTGAAAGGGATGACCACAACCAAGTTAGAATCCATTCAGCAGTAAACTCACACAAGGATACGCCTATGCGTTTTCTTTAAACACGTTGCAGACACCGGGTCATTCAAGCAACTGACCTTTGCTTTCGTTGGATCAAATGGGCTCAAGTCAGCAACTGAGGGGCGTAGATGTCTAGAGGTGTCTAGAGGTCCCTCATACCAGATGAAGGGCCTGCCTTGAGGTGTTTGGAACCTTTATGCATTTGCAGTTGATATGTTCAGCATATGCGTCCTCAGTCTATATTCACCGATATAACGCGACCTTGAGAGTGCTTTATAACCGCCTTTGACACTCTTCCGGTAATGATGAAACTCCGGAATATTGAATCCGTTGTGATGAACGAGAGTTGCTTGATTCATTGATAACACTCGTTCCTCACCCACAGACAGATATGAACTAATGATCCCGACATAGCTTTTGTCGATCCTCAAAGTAGTGAAAATTTCATCAATAGTCAATTGTTCATATGTTTGAAAGCAGTTGATTTTTTCAGTTTCATTCTAATAAAAACTTCTGTGCATGACCACATTGGGGTGAAGAGTTCATTTTGGAATTGATCACTTTCTTTTTTCTTCGATGTTTCCTAATATTTCGCATGTTGATGAGAAATTAATAAGTCGAAATGTTTTTTTCCAAAACCTAAGCTCTCACGGAAAATAATTATTTTTTCAATTGAAAATTCATGTATGGGAAATTTCGCCATGAGAAATGTGCAGATTCTCTACTGACTCAGCTTTTATTTTTTCTGATTTTGAAAGGTTATAAACCTAAAAAAACGGTATTAAATATTGAATCCTTCACAGAATCACTTTTGTGTATCAACTATGTTCTGTGTATATTTCAATTATATTCTGGAAACTGGAACTCTAGAAAAGGTTATCGTCCGAAAAATACTGATTCTTAGTGAGGCTCAGTTGAAAAGATATTTGATATTTCCACAATGAAATATAAAATATCATCAAAATATGATCAACTGTGTTACCAACTATGCGTCAAACTGACTAATAGCAGGGGGGCCCACGATGCAAAATGGGGATTTACTCGAGCGTCTTTGAGACATATTAGGTTGCGAAACTTAGATGATAAAAAGAGAAAAATGTTATATAATATATACCTTTGCATCGGTGGGGGAAGCGTATATAGATTTTTGAATATGTAAAAAAATACTGTTGCATGGACATACTCGAGCGCGTCAGATATTGATAGCATCAATGTCCTACGTATTTTTAATAATGTTGGTATGTTAATCTGATCGCTTGCATGATGTGGGTGGTTGTACGTAAGAGTTAAAAGTGAAAAGAAAAAAAAATTAATCGAGCGCATCAGATTTTCTAAGGGGGTGTTAAGTGCAACGAAAAAAACTCTCATTCAATAATCTGACGATTTCGATC